TTCCTTTGAATCGTTCATCCTGCAGCTCCCAATGCTATTTACTCAAAGGTCTCAATTCTGAAGTTAAAAGTACAGCAGTAGACCGTTTTCTCCAGTCAGAGACAGCCCTAACATGGACCTCAGACACAAATAGCTGATTACCTGGGGCTGATTAACGTACAAAACCAATCTACTGCATTAAAAATCCTGAAGACACTGTTCTGTTGCAGGTATTGCCTCAGTAAAAATGAACTGGTAAAACCTGGCTTATATGTCAGTGTTTGGACAATTACACTAGTCTGAAGACTAAGAGAACTTAGCAGCTAGATACTCCCAATGCCTTCAAGTTTAACATGAGCTGCCAAACGGCACTTCTGGAGAAATAGGCCACCTATTTAGGGGTCTAAATATGGCATTAAGAACCCAGCTTTAGCAACTTGCTCTTCATGTAGTATTGACTGGTATGTGTATCATCTAGATTAGTCATTTAAACTCTTAAGGTACATTTATTAAACTGTACTAAAACTGTCATATTGAGAATCTGAAATCCTCCCAATGGAAGTAACTGTAAGACAGAAGCAACACGACAGCAGTTTAAATTAAATACCTAAAACTAACACCTGTTGTGAAGCACAATCTTAAAACTCATCTTGCTTTGCAAGTGTTTTGTTTTCTTTGAAAACTTTAACACATTTAAAAAATAAATAGAAAAAGAAAAATCTGCATTTGTGAGAGATGGTACCTTACCATACAAATCCCCAGCTGGAGAGCTACATTCAAACGTAGAATAATAAAGCTCAGCTTTTAGGACCACGAACATTGCACGTACTGTTTGTTTGAACAAACAGGAAGGACAAATCAAGGTGAAAAACACCCGGCCATGCAGTGTATTTCCTTAACTCAAAAGAGACACAGAAACTAAATTCATATTCATAGAATGCAGCATTTTTACTAGAATTAAAATAGTTCAACACTAAAGTGTACTATTCAACTGTTATAATACGTTTTAGTAAGCTTATTTGCAAGATATTAAGAAACATTAAGCTTGCAATCAAATAGGGTTAGCATACACGTCAATTTAAAAAAAAATTTTAGAAATGGTTGATTTTTTTCATCATCCAAGGACTGTAAATGAAAAAAATGAATATGCAAAACACTGACTTCTGTGCTTGCGTTTTGGCCACAGAAATGCCCAAACCATGTTTTTTAGGGGGAAAAAAAAAAAGCAAAAAAAACCCCAAAACAACAGTACCTGGGGTCAGAAATATATTTTTAGCTTTGCACCCTATATTCATTGTTCTTTGTACTGTAGATCAGGAAGTAAGAGAATATTCATACTGTCTGTCTTCTTGACATGCAATGTAAGTGCCTAAACTGGAATCCCAGGGGCTGCATGTGGCCAGTAGTGCCAGGTATGTTCTTCTAGAGAATTAGATTATCTGAATAAGGAGCCTAGAGTCTCTCTAAGGAGAGAGAAATAGGCTCCTCAATTAAATGCTTAAGTTAGATGGTGTGAATATCTGACAAGATTTCTGATTGTTCCTTAATGATACAGGTACAAGGCAACAATCCCTTCCGTATATGAAGTACCTATAATGGTGCAAGCAGTGTGGCAGAACTTAAACTTTTAGATATAATTTTTTCTATGAAAGACCTTTAATTGATGTAGTTTGTGTTACCTTAAAAACCTGAGGGAGAACGAAAAGCTTCTTACAGTAAGTCACATAAGAAAAACTTGGCTATTGGCTTAATTTGCTCACATTTAAATCAGTGTTGCCATGAAGTTTAACTACTTTTATTGAAAAAAACAAAAAAACTCTTGAACTTTGGAAAACTCCCCTAAGAGATGTGCTTCATAACTGCTGTAAGCAAAAGCAGCTTTGCTGTAACTAACGTGGCCACTGTGAATTGAACTTCACATGGGATATGTTTCAGTTTTAACTACAAAGTACAGAAAATCTGCTCTCATTCCTTTAAGTAATACACATAATTACTTATTCAGTTATCAGTAATGACATTCATTGTCACTGGTATATTAGTTTAATGCCAAGAAACATTATTTTCATCAGAATTTATGTCAGTTCTATACTGGGGACCATCCATCAATGCAAACACCAAAGAAAGAAATACATTTCATGGAAGGGAAAAGCTTTGAATTTGTACACGATTCCTCTGTGGCTTATCTTGTTTGCATCACGTTTTACAGAAACTGGATGAGCAGCTGACACTGCTGAATGCCATTCGGACTTAGCAAAAAAAATATAGCATTTTAAAAAATGGTAGCAGAAAATTAATGATCTACAGAAAGTTAGTCAGTGAGGACACTGGCTTTTCTAAGCTGTTTTCATTTACTAAGCTTGAGCTAGCTGAAGTTGGGAGGAGAGCTGCTTTGTCCCCTGCCATACAAAATGATTACTGCAGTTAAAACAAAGATGCATGATAATGCAGAAAAGTAGTCTGCAAAACTGTGAATGATGCAGTATGTATTCAACATGCACACTAAGATGTGTTCGCTCTGTCGAAGCTTGGAAGAAATAGGTAACTTCTACGTACCCGTAAATGCTTTCATGCAAGACTTTCCAAATGGCACAAAACTTAATTACTGCTATTTTTGAGTATCTTCTGAAATTGCTACTGTACCTTTAAGAATCCTCAATCTAAATACCTCAGCCTTTTATGGAAGGAGACAAGCACAGTACAAATTAGCAAGATGGGTGTTTGACAGCATCGCAATTGCCAACACAAGTCCTGATGAAAAGAAGCACGAGCTCCAAGCTCTATTTAACTTTTTCATTATGACTTGCAAAATGTAACAGTCATCACAAGGAATTAACCATATAACAATACTATAATAACTGAAAAATAAGAACACGATTTCAGTGTAGCAAAGTAATTTATGGAAACATTTAGTGTTTCCACCATAGCAGTAGATAACACTGCAACCCTTCAAAGAGGATTATTTTTACTGTGTTCTGCAACTACGACTTTATACATGTAAGGGAGATTTAAGCATAGATAGATCTACAGCATAAATACAGCCAAACAGGCCTATTTAATTGGTGGCTCTGGTACTCACAGTTAAGACCAACAACAGTTAAGTGTGCCCACCTTCTCACTTTGACACCATCTCAAAAAAAAAAAAAAAGCCCCAAACAAACATTGATGTAATTTATTCTAAAGTTAAATTGCAAGGATTTTTTTTCTACCCTACTAGACAGAAATGATTTAGATTTAGATTATAGGTTGAATGCACAAGACTTTTGTTAAGACATGATTTCATCTACATTAGATGACCACTGTAGAAGCTTCTGAAAGTTCAACATAATAGTCATACTGACTTGTAAGGCATATTGAATGAGTAAATATATTCACAACTTGCGCTTAGCTACATGTGAATTCCAATGTATACGTCACTGCAGTTTCAACATATGATGGCATTAATATTTTTAACCCTGTTCCTTAGGCTAACATCTTCAGGAGACATTTCAGTGTTTACTTTCAGCTATTCTTGGAGCCCTCCACTGCAAAGCATTCCCTATCTGTAATCTGTTTTCCTTAACAGATCAGGTTGAATACATAAAGAAAGGCACTTTCTTTCCCATCTTTCCACCCACACAAAAATTATTCAAGTATGATATTCCATCTAGGAAGGCTACTTCATGGAACAGGTCTTCATAGTATAGGCAAATCCACTTAGGGTTTCAGGTCCAATGCACACACTTGGAGCAGAATTTAGGTATGTCCAAAAGGCACCATTAGCCTCAAGAATCCTGCAAGTATCAGAGCCCACCTGGACAGAGCCGGGACATGGCCTCTTGTGCCAAATGGAACTGCACCAGCAAAATGGTAAGAAAAACAGGACCTCTAGTGGGAAATCTGGTCCCAGGGAGCACCCTTTTGCCACTATTACAGCTACGTAAGGATTAGCTTGCTAATTGATGCAAATACAGCCATATGAACTCAAATATGGTCACAATTGCGACAAATGAAACTCTAGGTTACTCTGTGTGAAACCTAACAAAAAGCAACTATAACAGCTTTATGTGGAGGTAAAGAAACATTCTAATTCTTTTCTCTGCATATTATCTTTTTTACTTTTGCTGGAATATAGTAGCTCAGTGTGAAACAAAAAACGAAGCTGACACAGGCGTAACGAAAATTAAAGAACATCATACAGAATTAATGTAATAATCTGCCTTCTATTTTAAAATGCGCTGCTTCTAAATTAAGTTGCCCAAGCTCTTTTAGTAACAAAAAAACCCACGCAAAAACTATAAATTGTTAGAATGGCAACTGAGATTGGGATACAAAATAATAAAGGTCTCCACTAACAAGAAATGTTATGACTGAATGAATATAGGCAGGAATGGGAAAAATAACATTTTACCAACAGGTAACTGAGGCTGGAGTTAAGTGACTTACCTAAAGTCACATAAGATGTCACTGGCAAAATTCAGGAGGTGAACCCAGATCTTTACTTCTAAGACACATCCTCCTGTTTAACGCTTCTAAATCACAGGGCTTCCAGCCAAAACATAACAGAAAAGTTGCTAGAACGTGGAGGAAAAAAATCTCACTAACATGCAAATGTCAGCCTAGAATGCCAGTAAAAGACGAACATGACAAAGACTCCAGGCCATCTACAGAAGTAAGAAAACCTATGTACACGGACAAGCGAACAAAAAAATCCTGAGTTTTGAAGGGATTTTAAGAATATGAGTGTTACCATAGGCACAAAATACTTGCTGTATTAAACATATTTTGCTCTATTGCTACGTCAGCAGCTACGGTTTCTATCTTTCTTGGCAGTCAATATTCTTAATTAACTGTGAGAATCATATATTCCTGAATACATGGAAAATGCTGGGGTTAGTTGCAATTTAGGACTAAAAACAATATAGAAATATACAATTTTCAAACCAAGTATCAGGGCTGTAAGCACTGTTTAATGCTTCTCTAAAATGAACGAAACCAAAACGCTATGCAAGACTATGAACATACCAGTTACATACCATCCTTACCTGCAAAGGAAGGAGAGTATTACTGTTGTTGTCAGTTCGGAAAACATTATCTTCAATCCACGATTTTGGTGTCAGTGATGGAGTGGAGCGAGTAAATTTAGGAGGAGCTATGACATTACCAGAAAAGGGCTTCTTCAAAGGAGAGATCTGGTTCATAGTTCCTGGAATTCCCATGTTTCCAGTTCTACGATGGTCTCTGCCATGCATTCCTCCCCAGGATATATTTCCTGTGCTCCAGCCGCTACTCTGATTGCTCCAGGGCGACTGCTTCAGAAGAGGCTAAAAAGAAAGATTCATTTATATTATTTTGAAAATACCTGAAATGTTTTTCTACTTTAGGAAAAAAAAAAATACAAAACAAAAAACCCAACCAACCACCAAGTAATCAATGCACAGAGATGTCTATAAACCACT